AGGCTTTTAGAAGCTACTCTGCTCTTCCTTGGGTGAAATGTTGGCCTGGGATTCCCCTGTTACGACACCTGCTATAGTGCGTGAACATTTTTCTTCCCTTCTCTGTATTTTACGGGATGGTATGTCCCTCAGGGGCAGGAACACTTTTTATTTACCTTTGTGACTTCCTGCTTTTACTCAGTGCTTGTCCTAGGGTAGTCGAAAAACATTTATCAGTGAATGCGGAAAGACAGAGCAGTGACAATTTAACTCTTTTTTGTGTTACCCAGGTGGATAATGAACAACTGGATTTAGAGGATGAAGTCATTGAAAGCATTGATGCCACCAAATTAAGCCATTTCATCGAGATCAACAGCCTTTACTTGGTGACAGAGTACAACCCTGCGGTAAATGACAGTCCCTATCTCCACCTTTAAGTCCTTCAGTCAGGGAGGGTGTGTGTCTTCATAGCAGAGGTTCTGTCCTCCCAGAGTTATGACCCTTTGACTAGTGCCATTAATTGAACACCTAGTAAGTTGCCTATGTTACTATTCTTACTGCAACCCTGTAAGATGGATGGATTTATCCTTATTAAACAAAGAAACAGAATCAGACAAGTTAAATGGCTCACTATGCTCCTAGTAAGAAAGAGAGCCAAAATGCCCAGTTAGGTGACTGGTTGAAAACTTCTCACTTTTGCTGCCTGAGAGGGCTCAGGGAAGGCAACTCCAACCCAACCAATCATCTCCGTCATTCTTCTCAAACCTCAATATTTAAGGTCCATGTTTTTTTTCTCAAAAGCATCAGTGATCAATACTTTTGTAAATTACAACAAAAATATTTAAAGGGAGGCCACACATCACATATTTGGATGTCATAGCAGTGTTAAATTTCTAAAACACAAATGTTTCTAAATACCTATCTGTATTTTCTGTCTTACATCCTTATGGACCAGTAGTAACAAGCAGCTCCCGGTCTGGCACCAGCTGGGAACCATGCTTGGATTGGCTCATGCCTACATCCAATCCTCCTTACACCTCAGCTTTCTCCCTGGGTGTGCCCTGTCCTCTGGCACTGCATGCTGTATGCAGTTGGGATAAAGTTTGATCATCTCCTGGCCTTCTCATACTCCATGGTTTACAGCCTTATCTTACATGTACAGTATTGCCCTTTATTTTCCCTGAAATAGACCCTGGAATGATAGAGCATTAAGATCTGGTCGTCTACTTCAGAAATGCTGTACATTCTCCAGTAGCACCACTTAACATGCATGTTATGATTTTTTAGAACTTATAAAGCTTTTTCACACTCATGTTCCCATTTAATCCTCATGCTAATTTTGGGGTTTTTTTTAAGACAGAGTCTCACTTTGTTGCCCTTGGTAGAGTGCCTGGCGTCATAGCTCAGAGCAACCTCAAACTCTTGGGCTCAAGTGATTCTCTTCCCTCAGCCTCCCAAGTAGCTGAGACCACAGGTGCCTGCCACAATGCCCGCTGTTTTTTAGAGACGAGATCTTGCTCTGGTTCAGGCCGGGCTCGAACATGTGAGCTCAGGCAATCCACCCACCTCGGCCTCCCAGAGTGCTGGGATTATAGGCGTAAGCCATCACGCCCAGCCTCTGATTTTTTTTTTTTTTTTTTGAGGTAGAAGAGAGTAAAGTTTTATCCTCATTTGATAGAATAGATAAATCAAGATCCAAGTAACATTATTCAAGATCACATGATGAACAGACAGAAAGGCATAATTTAAAGCAGAAAAAAAAAGTAACTGATGGTTAATTCACTCATATTGTTTATTTCCCTTTTATAGTAGAAGAAATGGGAGTTCAGAAAAGTTAAGTCACTTCTTCAAGGCCATATGGCTAGTAACTTGAGCTTCAGAGACAGCCTACACACTTACCCTGCTTTTTCACCACTGGTCTATGTGACTCAGTCCTGTGGTTTCTCTAATGCCCCACACCACCTCCAGTAGAAACATCCCTTTTCCTGTGAACTAAATCCCTGCCCATCTCTCAAACATCTTTATCTCTGTGGAGTTGGTGGCTCTATTTCGACTTCTGCTGAGATTCCAAACGCATACCCCTGTAGGGCATTGACAGCAATAATCCAGAAGACATTCTACTATATCATCATCACTTGGTCTTTCTATCTATGGAGCTGTCAGGAGTGCATGTGGGGCCAGAAAAGATGATCTTATGGTCCCTGAGCTCGGATCAGGTGTCCTGGCATTCTGCAGGCTAGCTAAGGCAGGGGGAAAGACTGGCCTTCCTGAGCGCTCACACCTGGCTCCCCTCTCCTCTTACAGTATCTTTTTTTAAGTTCCACATTATCAAGGCAGTGAGCTCTTAGGCCTGGCTCACCTCTCATCTTACAGTGATAATCTTTTTCAAGTTCCATATTATTAGGCAGAGCATATCAAGAGGAAATTAGACAACAATTTCTCTACAGCAGCAAGTTCACTATTTATTGTTATTATTTTATTTCTCACTTGGAGAGTGGCCCATTCTACTGTAGCTATTTCTTATCTGCTGCTAGAGCAGAGGTTTGTAGCAGTAGCAACTGGGCAGAAAATCCCAAGTATGTGTTTGACCTGCCAACCACCTTTAATGCACACACTTACCAGGTGGCTTCAAACTGAAAAATCAGGTTGCTTCTGTTAAACTAATCTCTTCTGCCATAGCCGGTCCTTTCTGCTAAAACAACCGTAGCTTTTAACTCCTTGGCTTTTACGCCTTAATTCTTCTTAAGAATTATCCCCCGTCTCTGCGTTAAGAGGGTAGATGCACACTCTTAAGTAGCAGAATGTAGTAAACTAAGAGTGACACTGCTTGTCGCATAATCTCCCAAAGTAAAATCTAAGACCTGGTTTCAAACTCCAGGGAGAAATCTTCAGAAGGAGCACACTGGGTCCTCCTTGACTACATAGGGGTCGCTGCAGCCGAGAGTTTTGGGGCCTCTCTGAGGAACAGTCTGGAGTTCCAGGAAGAATCCTGCCTGGATGCCTCTTTCCTGTCCTCCGAGACTCTTCCCAGTGGTTTGCTCATCCACCATAGTCTCTCTTCCCATGTACACGTCAGTATCACAGCAATGTTTGCTGTGTTTAGAAGGAGAGGTGGAAAGAAACGGGATTTGTCTGAAGTAGACATGCAGCACCGTTTCCGAACAGTGTGATGAAGGGAACTAGTGCCACAGTTCCACCCTCTCTCTCCTCTGCTCCTGGCTGCTTCTGTCCTGCTCGCCTAAGTCATTGGCAGCCCCATGGGGAATGGTCACCTCTCGTCTGCAAAAAAGAGCCAATACTTCTGGTCTTGCAAAAAGCTGACTTTCTCGCTGACCTTAGGTGGGCTGGTTCCACCACACCTAAGGCTGAACGTGCTCACAGAGGTTTTGCCATCCATTGTGCATGAGGCAGTCCACCCTCCCTCACGATCAGGGGCATGCACTCTGGAGCCAGGCTGCCCGGTATGAATCCCAGTCCACCACCGATGTGACTTTGAGAAAGTTATGTTGAGAATGCCTCGGTTTCCTCATCTGAAAAATTAGAACCCTGAAGATTAAATTGGCTATTATATGTTAAGAGTCAAAAACAGTGCCTTGCACGTAATGAACACTCGATACGTGTGAACTACTAACATATAGGGAAAGGCCACATGTTAAGTGTCTCTGACAAGGCTTGCAAAATGAAGAGAGAATTAAAAAAACGTGATGAATATGCTACATGGTATATTAGTTGTCTACAGCTGTACAACAGATTATTTCAAAAATTGGCAGCATCTTCAAACAAGAAACATTGATCATCTCATGAAGTTTCTATGGCTCCACCAACTTGGGGTGGCTGAGCTATGTGCTTCTGGCCTGGGATCTCTTGTGAGGTTGCAGTCATCAGTCGGGGCTGCTGTGATCAGAAAGCTTGACTCGGGGTGGGGATCTCCTTCCCAGATGGCTCACTCACACGGCTGACGAGCCAGTGCTGGCTGTTAGAAGGAAGCCCCAGCTTCTCACCATGTGAACTTCTTCATAGGGTTGCTTGGATGCCCTACATGGGGCTGGATTTCCTGAGGGAGGGATATAAGAGAGAGCAAAGCAGAAACCACATGTCTTTTCTGACTTAACTCAGAAGTCACACTCCAACATTTCTGTAATATTGTCTTGATTATTCAGTGCAGCCCTCTTCAGTGTC